TTTAACTTAAAAATTCTTTTCTAATTCAAAATTATTAAATATTCTTTATGTTATTTTCACATGAAATCTAATAATATTATTATTCTATAATAATAGGAATTTTTAAGATAGTAATAAAATAAATAATTCTTTTATTTTAAAAATAATTTGTATAATTATTTTTATTTATATTTTCATTTATTGTTAAAACTTAAATAGTTTATCTTTTTTAAAAAAATATTTACTATACTATTTTATATAAAAGATATAAAATATATATTTTTTTTTTTTCATTATATATACTTACATCTTCTCAAGTCCATATTTTCAAAAGAAATGAAATATAATGCTTCATTATTAAAAAAAAATAATAATTCATTCTTTGCCATAAACATATATATATTTACTCTAATAATCATTTAGATGATATAAATAGGTAGAAAAAGATAAAAGTAGATAAATTTGATAATATCTTATGGAGTAGCTTCTTAGAAGCTTCATAGACATGATTTTGTTTTTATACATGTCTATAGGTGATTGATAGGTTGAAAACTTGGCTCATAAGTTGGCCTCATGTCACACATGTTGGCTACTTTTAATACAAGTTGGACATACAAGTTGATAAAGAAGTAGTGACCTCTTTATCCACTATTATATCTTTCTATACCAAAAAGTTCTCACTAAATACTAAAGTCATAGAAGCAACAGAGTTAATAGTTGTAGAAGTTTATTTTTATCATTTGATTTTGCATCAATACTTGTCAATTTATATTAGATCTTTTTAAAGATAATTAAGTGATTTAATATATTTATATTTTATTTATGATAGAAAGTACACAAATTTTTTGTTAAATATGGTTGATTTATATAAAAATATTATATAATAGATTTTTACTTCTTTTATAGCCTTTATATTAAATTATAGTACTTTAATCACAAGACTCAAAAATCCGTAGATTTAAGATATACAAGTCTTTGTAAAGAAATATAAGTATTTAAGTATTCAAATATATATATATATATATATATGAATAATATTCTCAAGTTTCCAAGAATACAAAGATAAAGGATTAAGAGATTAAAATTTAATAAGAATAATTATATTGCATTAGGAGCAAAGATGGATAAATGACTAAAATAAATTACAATAATGTAATTATATTTTAAATTATATGTATAAGCTTGAGATATAATTTGAATTTTTCTTTTATTATTACTATAGATATAACATCTTTTAGAATTTTTGAAGACTTTTATAAAGTCTATCTTAATTTTTTTTTTAAATATAAAAGACTATAGAAGATTATAAGTTTTATTTAAGAACTTTTCAAAGATCAAAAATACTTCTTGACTACTTCTAAAAATAAGAATAATTGTAGAAAGTTCAAAATGCATCTAAAACCAAAATAAAGTAGTGCAAATATTTAGAAGTTTCTAAGGAGGACCTAAGGTTAAAATGTATTGTAAGTCCTTGACATATTATAAAAAGAGATTTAGATTGAAAAAAATTTATAATATAAAATATAAATATTTAATTTTTTGATTTTTTAATTATTTTTTTATAAATATCGTAATTTATTTTGATACTTTATAACTATCAAATAAAAGTTTATGAATTTAAATATATCTTTTAAGAATTTAATGGATTTTAATTTTTTTTAAATCAAAAGTAATACTTTTGATAGATTAATCAAATTTTCTAGTTCTATTCTTTTCTATATAAAAATAATTTTATATTTTGATTTAAAACATATAAAAAAATATAAAAATATAATATTTAGTATTTATACGTGAAAAAGAATAAATAAAGTAACTAATAAAAATATAAATTAATTTTAAGGTATAATTGTTTTCTAAAGTGTAGCAACTATTTTCTTTAAAAACTTATTAGAATCTATGATTAATTTTTAATAAAATTTATGATAGGTATAATTCTTAAATTATTTTAAAATACGTTTAAGATGTTTTAAGAGTTTTAAAATTTTGAAACTCTAAAATATTATATAAAATTAATTAAACATTTAAATTCAAATAATATCATAAAACTATCATATTGATTCTACTTACAAAATGTTTTTACAAAAATGTATTATAAAACTTAAAGAATATTTTATAAATTTTTACATATCTGTAGGAATAATAATTTAAGATTTTTGTAATAATTTTTTTTAGAGTTTATAGAAATATTATGTGTTATAATTATATGCTCCAAATAAACTTAAATAAATTACTCATGATTTTAGTTATAAGTTTTTATTACATATTTAATTTTTTCTTAATAATGTATATTTTAATTTATTTAAATTAAAAACTATATGTATGTATGTATGTTTAAAGACCTTAAGAAAGAAATGAAAACAAATAAAGGATTGATGTATTTATTAGTTATGGTTAAACAATAAATTTAAGTTATATTTAGAATAATATTTGCAAAATTTATATAAAAAATTACCTTAGTTTAAGTTATAGTTTTTTTTAATTTAGAAGTTAATTCATTTATTTTTTAAATTAAATAAATATGTAAAACATAAAGTAATAAAGAAAATACATTCTGAAAAAAGAATTTATTAAATTAAATAGATAATAAAATGTTCTATCTACTATGAATGTAAATATGTCTTCTAAAGTGAATTTTTATTTTAAAGTAACAAGACAAATTTATTTACTTTATCCAGCATAATAATTCTTTAAAATAATTAGATTACTAAAAGCTCATGCCTAAATTTCTTACTACTTTTCTACTTTCTATCTTTTTCTACTAAATTTCTAATAGAATAAATTTATTATAAAATTTTATAAAATCTTCCTATAAATAAAAATGTTAATTTTAAAATAATATTTGACCTATTTTATAATCCTAATTAAAATATATCATTTGAATTGTATACAAATAGGTCTATTTGAATGCACTTTAAGTACAAAAATCAAATAATATTTTTATTTTTATTTTTATTTAAAAAATTATAATATATAATTTTTTCTTTTAAAAGCATGATGGGATGTTGCCTATAAGTCTATTATTCATAAGAAAAATAAGTAAATGAATCATCTGCAATACTTTACACAATTATATATACATATCTATAATAGGGAAATGATGAAGCAATCTAAATTTTTACTAAATTGACCTATATGCTCTATTCCCAACTATTCCCAACCATTCTTAATTGTTCCTCAATTCCCCTGTTCCCAATTGTCACTCCAATTCCCAAAGTTCCCAGCCCCCTACCCTCGTCTTTAGCAATGGTTGACAACAAGAAACAGTTGGGAATAAGAATGGAGGCTCCAAGGGTGCAATGATGCTTAAGATAGAGTGGGTTGCTTTAGTAAAAATTTGGATCGTTTTGTCATTCCCCCTATAATATCATATTATTAAATTATATCCAAAAAATGAATATATTCTAACATCCAAACAATTTTTTGAAAGAAGGGGAAAATTCACTATAGTTTATCTTTACAAGACCCTTAAAGGTAAAGGAGAGATCAACAAAAGAGTGAGTTGGGTTCCGGAGAGGCATCCACACCTCCAGACGTCACCACCATATTCATTCGTCCATCAATCCATCAATCTATCCATCCAGATACATTCATCAATCAATAAAGGGGCCCCGCCTACGATTACAAAACCTGTTCAAGGCCTTCCCGTTGGAGATTCAACCGTCGTCGTCGTCGTCCTCATGGTTTCCGCTGGCGTGGGGGCTGAATAGCAACTGCCACCATCGCCACCCATTCAAATTTCGCCTTCGAATAGAAATCAGGCCGGAGGTGCGGAACTACCCACCCCACAGCACTGGTCATGACCTAGCGGGGGCCTCAGGAGGGCGAGCATCAGAGCCGCAACAGGTTCAGTACCCAGTTTAGAGCCCCACTTTCGCATCGACAGCGCTGGGATGGTTCCTCCTGGAGGTGCCCAAGAGAGATGCATCGCTCTGACGCTAGAGTTCAGGGGGGCCGACATTTCGGCGTGCGTTAAGTCCCAAACAGCGCGGACATGCCACAATCTTCCGCGTTCCGTGCGTGCCGTCACGAGGAGGGCAGTGCAGGCGTGAATGGTGGATGGGGGTGGGTGCTGCCAAAATGATTCGCCGAGAATTGGAGGAAGCGATTGATGAGCTCCTTGCCGAGCCCAGTTGCGTCGTTGGCATTCTCATGAGCTTTCTCTGACAGCGTTCATTGATGTCATGGACTTGTTAGAACTGCACATATTCCTTTGTTTCTTTCCCATAGTGCGAAAAAGTGAAGGATAAAGAGGTAGAAAGGAGGCTCTTTCCGAGAGCCACCAGAAAAGAGATATGTATCAGTGATTTGCATCTTTTAAAGCAATGGGAGAAAATGAAGTTTGCATGATGTTACCGTTCGTTTGGACCCGTTCGCACGATGCTTTGCGCCGGATCCCTTAGCTTTAACGACTGATTTGAATATCAACTCCATTGAGCATTAGGAAAAATGAAGGGATCCGTGAAACTCTATCAGGCGATTAGACCTTGCCGAGGTCAAGTTGAACCAGTTGGCGGGTCCCAGTACCATGTCGGCACGCCTCTCGCGTGAAATTTTGGAGTTACTGGACAAGTAAATGTAGTTTCGGGTGCTATTGGAGTTTGTTCGTTCACTAGCAGTTTCTTTTTTAAGTTCCACTGCATAATTTAGTGAAATTCAAGATCGAAATTCCACTCCAATCTCAGTATTAGTATTACTTTTTCTAATCTGCTCTAAGTACTTGTTAAAATTGCACCATCTACCTTTGCATTGCACTAAGTTTTACATATATTTCAATTAAAAACAATGAGATCCCAGTCATAGTAAATATTTAGCCATTTTGTTTTAGTTGAGATTAAAATGAAGAACTAAGATTTACAAGATATTATAATCAAACGCACAGGACCCATCGTTCTTTTAGGTTTCTTCAAACATGATTATTCTGCTCCAGCTATTGGATTGTCAAGTCGCCCGCAGTTTCGGAGGAGTCTTTGGGTGCCTCCCAATGACTGAGGATCCAAGTTTAGTGAAGACATCCGTACGTCAAGCAGCCATTCCATTTTCGATGCTTTTTTTATATTCACTAATGGACGCACTGCATGTTCGTTACAGCTCCTGCAGTGTTGTGTTCCGAAACCGTGGAACACGCCAGCCGCAAGGAGCCATTCGGGGTGGCCCGTAGTCTGACGATCCTCATCTGTTTAGCTCGGTCGAAATGCCGAACGCCAGGTAGGAGTTAGGGTGGAGAGGCTGTTTCAGTTTGCATCAACTGATCGTCCACCTTTACACATCTTGTGTGGAGATCTAGAATTTGGTGGTCATCAGTAGTGTAGGGCGTGATCGTCGATTGTAGGGTAAGTGGATCACCAAGGCGGTCTTGTTCTAATTTGTCGAGTCTGCAGTGTCAGCATAGCTTGGTCAACTTCAAGGGAATTTTGCCTGCAGAACGATTGAATGTTGATTGAGGTCGCATTGGCGCTGGATGCCAGGGACTGATCGAACCGGTGGGAGTACGCACTGCTAGCTAACTAGCGTGATTCTTTAGTGGTGCTTTGCGTCGTTATGGATGAGCTGCATGAAGGGAAATCTAATGCTAGAGAAAATGTTGGTGTGACTTCTGATAATTCTAGCGACGTCGAATCTAGTAGCTGTGCTGGGACAGAAGCTAGTCGATGAAGGAAATAACACGGTATAACGGAATTTCAAGTAGGTCATGCAGGTAACGAGTGAGGGTGAATTCAGAGCGTAAGAGCAAAAGAGAACTAGGTTTTGGGATAATTTCGAAGGACTGTGATCACATTTCAAGGAAGACCAGAGAACGTCGGCTGAAATGAATCCTTTACGGTTATTCTCGAAAGTGGCTTCAACGTCACCGAAGAAGCTCTCCTTCGATGTGTGCGATGGACTCGGACCAGCGCGGGCTGACTCATCTCACAGCTCATTCGTGGTAACTACTCGCGGAGATCCAAATCCCAGTGATATGATAGCGTCTGCGGATCTCCTGAGTCTTGAAGTCGAATGTTCGCGAGAGGGTTCCATCGTTTTACCTCCGGCGACCACTGACTTCGACGCCTCTCCGCCGCGCATTGACAGGGTCACCAGAGGTGCCAGGAAGCATGGGCAAATTCTAGCTCTTGAGCCTGGGTGTACGGAAGGTGCCAGTCCGGTAGCCGTGAAAACTGAATCTTCCAGGGTGCCTACACCTGGCCGCGGGAAAAAAACTGCCCTGACTCAGGGACGGGGGCTGCAGGCCTATGGAAGCACGAACGGAAAGAGTAGCCATCATCGTCGATCTTTGAGCAACACCCCTCGCTCGGACAACAATTCGACTACCAGCACAGAGTCTTCAATAGCTCCAGCAACTCGAACCCTGCGGCAGTCTGCCTCGTTCTCGGGAACTACGACGCCGCGAGGTGGCCGTCCGCCCACGAACGCAGAACTGAACACTCCTCTCTTAGGAAGTGCCGGTACCGCCCCACGAAGCGCTGGAAAGTGGGCGAAGTGTGGCGTCAATGCTGCAGCTGGCACTCGGTTGCCTAAGGCTCTCGGTCAGCACGAAGAGGAACCCGACCGGACTGAGCGCGTGGAGGATCCCACTTTTTGGATGGATCACAGTGTGCAGGTCAGTCGCTGTAGGCAAGTTAGAGGAATCTTTCACAAAATTTGTCGAGTCGATTGTCGGGATTGAATTTCGAGATTGATGCCATTTGGCACCAAGGGTATGATGTGCACAACGTTTTTTCAGGTTTTGATTCGTGCGCGTCCGATTAGTAGCGCCGAGATCGCTCAACAGGGGATTGCCAGATGCGTGAAGCAAGAGAACGCTCATACAATTTCGTGGCTGGGGCAACCGGAGACGAGATTTACGTTCGACCATGTGGCAGGTGAATTCGTCACCCAGGAAGAGTTATTCCGAGTGGCGGGATTACCGATGGTGGAAAATTGTATGGCCGGATACAACAGTTGCATGTTTGCATATGGCCAGGTTAGTCTTCTATTTTGACCTCGAGCATGTCTACATTACGATGGTCGAAGGAAAATTTGACACAAAAACGAGCGAATCAATCCTTCAAAAAAGAAAGAATTTGCATTCTTCTGCAACTTTCCTATGTTAATTTTGAAGGTTCCATCGCTTAACTCTAACATGTGCAAGCGCTATGTTGGACATTGAACAGACGGGTAGTGGCAAGACGCATACCATGCTTGGAGACATTGGGGACTTCGATCAGCAACCTAATGAGAATTGTGGGATGACACCACGAGTGTTTGCGTACCTGTTTGCTAAGATTCAGAAGGTATAGATGTCACACCCTGCAGCATCGTATGATCCGCAGCACGCAGAAGTGATCAAGAGTTTTGAGCCTTACAACTCTATACCTTATGCGTGGATGATGCAGGAAGAAGAAGCCCAAAAACACAGGAAGTTGAAGTACAAATGTAGGTGCTCCTTCTTGGAGATCTACAATGAGCAGATATCGGACTTGCTTGAGCCCTCCTTAACAAACTTACAGATGAGGGAGGATTTGAACAAAGGCGTTTATGTTGAGGGTTTATTGGAAGTGGAAGTGCAGAATGTGCAAGATGTGTTGCATCTGCTGCTGTTGGTACGTGCACACGACTTTAATTAGAAGTCCGGAAACATATTTCCTTTATAATTGGGAGAAGTTGTTCGCATTATCGTGAAGAACTTGGATACTGTGAGATCATCCTCAAATCTGAAGTCCATTGTGGGTCTGCTTTGTCTCTTGGGTTGTAGGGTGCGACCAACAGGAAAGTGGCTGCTACCAACATGAACAAGGAGAGCAGTAGGTCACACAGTGTTTTCACTTGTATCATCGAGAGTCAGGTACAGAAACAGCTGCTGGATACTACGGTCATTTCAGCGAGCTGAAGTACGCGAATTCGTGGTTGTAACTTGTGATTTTAAAGCTTCGTTCTGGGATTCTTGCAGTGGGAGTGCGATTCAATGATCAACTTCCGGTACGGACGGCTGAACCTCGTCGATCTTGCTGGTTCAGAACGGTACGCAAGCACACCTCTTTATCACTGAAAGTGGCACAATTCACACGAGGCATTCTAATATTGTCAACATACATATCTAATTGTCTGACTGAGTTCCTGCGCGATGATCTTTTTTCATTGGAACAGTCAGAAAGCCACTGGCGAGGATGGAGAGCGTCTGCGAGAAGCGGCCAGTATAAACAAGTCTTTGTCAACCCTTGGGTAAGCTACAGCTCAACCTGACAGTTTCCTGTGTTTTGTGTTTTAGAACTAAGCGATACCCAAATGCTCATGTGACTTATACGTAACGCATTGGATTTGTGTGAAAAGGCTTGTCATTATGGTCTTGGTGGACATTGCCAATGGGAAGCAACGGCACGTCCCGTATCGAGATTCGAAGCTCACCTTCCTCCTTCAGGTAAGCGATTCAATGTTTGATCAAATTGTAGCATCACTTTGCTGAGGCTTGAGTGTGATCTTCCCGTGTCGATCGCTGAGAATACGTGAATGGTTTCCAGGATTCGCTTGGAGGCAACTCTAAGACAACAATCATCGCTAATATCAGCCCTTCCAGCTGGTATTTCTCCAACTCAACCACACTGTCAGTTCAATTCTTAATATCATTTGGTTGAGGCAGTAACCTGTATCGCATCGGTTATTCACTCACTTTTTCTGTTCCGTGCGTAGTGCTGCGTCGGAGACTCTTAGTACCCTCAAGTTTGCTCAGCGCGCGAAATTCATTCAGAACAATGTAAGACGTCTGCATTACGTGAATTCTTTCTTGGTACTTTGTTGCTGAGCTCTCCGTGCTAATTTCTATTTCCATGAATGTCCAGGCTGTGATCAACGAACAATCCACCGGAAACGTGAAAGAGCTGCAAGAACAGATTCAACAGCTTAAGGTTTGCGTTGTTCCATTCCTTCTTCTAGCAAACATAACCATACTTACTAAATGCAATATTATGCTGTTGAGTTGCTTACGGTGGCTCTTGTTCTTCCTGAAATAGGATGAGCTCGCTCGTATTCGTAGACAGAGCATATCAAGGATACCGTCCATGCCTGTGGTAGAAGATGACAATGCCACGGATATGTCCAACGAGTCCGGATTTGATCCTATGCGGAGCTTCACTGAGGGCTCCTTTCTGCAGTTTGGTAGAGCTGTATTAGGACCAACCGCATTGAATCAAAAGGTGACTATCGGGAACTTTACTCCTACACTGTTAGGAATAGATTCTGAAACTTTGAATTGGACTAATTTTCGAGTAGATTCCTACTCTCGCTCTCACCGTTTATCGGGGTTCAGATAAAAGAACTGGAAGACCTGCTGGCAGCCGCACTACGAAGAGAAAAGATTCTTCAAAAGACATCAGCTGCTGAAATTCAGGACCTGACACGCTTGGTGGATAGAAACACTAATTCCGAATCTGCTGCCATTGTCCAGGTTTGCCAACGACCCCCTTCTAATTCTTCTCTTTTGATTTGGGATTTTTGATGTATTACTATTGATGACTATCGACCCACACATGAACTGCCATGCCAATCACAGCAGGAAACATCGATAGCTGAACTTTCGTCTGAGAGACGAGCAACAGAGCTTCTTCGATATGAGGTTGAATCCTGTCAACGAGACCTTGCTGATTATCGAGTGAAGCTTCAGATCAGCCTGGAGTCCAATGAGAGAATGACAAGGTTTGCTAGCTTCACCCCAATTCATTTCCTGAAATCGTTTTGATATTGTGGTCGCTGGTTTGTCTACACTTGGGCTAATTGCACCATTTTGCAGTGAGTTGGATGCATTGCGAAAAGAACTTGAGAACTCGCAGGAGGAATGCAGGATGCAGAAACATAAGCTTGGGATCCTTCAGGTACCTCCATATTTTTCCACATCAATTTTCATGTTTAATTTTCAACTAATAAACATGGATCACTCCGCTTGCAAATCCCACTTTAAAAAGACTAAATGTTTCATTAGTTTCTTCTACGTGCCGGCATGCACTGAAAGATGTGACCTGCAGGGCAAAGTACAACAGTTCGACTGTTTGGAGTTGAAGCAAGCGCAACACGAACAGTTCATGTTCGAGCTGAAGACGCAGCTTCAGAAGGTAATTCTTTTTTCATGGGATGGACTTTTTTAATGAGAAGCCAATACTCCGGAACCATCGACCCAAAGACTTGTGTGCTCATGTCTTCTGCTTGCAATGATCAGAGCGAAGAGAGGGCCGCGTATGAAATGAAGAGGCAACGTCAGCTGGAGCACCGGCTGCAAGAGGAGCTGCAGGAGTCCACCAACTTGCATGCAGAGCTTCAGGTTTCCAAACTCGAACATTCTCTCGTCAAAGAAGTATCAATTCTCCTGCATGCCCTTTTGTTTTTAGTATCAACCTTTTTTCAGATAATGCACAGTGACTCACAATACATGTTTTGCCCCAATCCAGTCAACACGAGCTTCACTGAAGGAAGCTGAAGCGCTGGTCGAAACATTGCGGGGACGTGGATCAGGACTGGAAATTGGAGACTCGGAAGCTTCATATGAAAGTGCCATGATCAAGCAGTTACGAAACGAGATAACCGAATTGAATAAAAGATTAGAGGATGAGCGCGACCGTGGAAGAGAATTAGAGAATCAGGTCGGTAATAAAGCTGCGAGGGATTTTGTACATGAACCCAATCACAAAAGTAACATTCACACGGAGTGCCCTGACATCACAGGGAGGAAGAGGGTTAGGCATCACGATGCAATATTGCAATTGCAAATGGAGCTAGAGTCCATAGACGGTGGATCACCTGGTAGATCAGATCCTATAAAAGGATACAGATGGGAGTCAGGTACTGTAGACGAGGAGGTTGAGGTGAAGCACACGATGACCATTATGCAGCTTCAGTTGGATATGGAAGCGCTGGAAAGTGTACTTGCCGAGGAGCGTCGAAACCTAGCGGAGGCGAGGTCTTCCTCTGAACTTTTGCGACAGGAATTTGAGGAGACAAAAGTCAAGCTTAATGCAGAGAAGAGTAAAGTGGAAGCTCTAACAAGGAACCAATATCTTAAGAAGGTTGAGGGCCAGCTTCATGAAGCGGAGAACGAAGAAATGCAATTGGTCAAGATGCAAGAGGCTCTTTTAGTAACGAAAGAGCACTTCAACTTGGAGATGCAGACTTTGGTTGCAGCGGTTGCTGAAGCCGAAAAACGGTACGTATCTGTGAAGAAGGAGCTTGAGTCAATCCACTATCAGTTCCAAGGCCTTGCAGATCGGACCAGAGATGTCGAATCTCGTGAGCTTGTTGTTCAGGCTGACAGCAAGAAGCTTGAGGAGTTGAAGAAGCACCTAGGAGCTGTTCATATACTCAGCGATGACTTGCCAAACCAGGTATGGACGTCGCCTGAAGCCAATGTCACCAGTCACAGTGAAGAATCTGCTGTCAACTTCCGATGTTCAAACACGATTAGACTTTCGATAATTCCTAATATGATGTCGAACTGTTGCAGATTGAGATGACACTGGAGGGATCTGTGAATGTAAAGGATCAGACGATACAAGAGCCGGAGGATTGGGTTCTCGAAAAATCAGACCTTCTCTTGGCAGTGCGAGATTTCGAAGCTCGTTGTATGGAGAAAGATTACGTTATTGGAAACTTGAAGAAAAAGATTGCCAGTCTCAACAACGGTGCATTAGAAAGCGTAGAAGTCGTAGGACTCAGAAGCCTCTCTAGGAATGAAACAATGGTGATGCTAGAGAAGAACCTCGAGAACATGGCACAAGCTATGGTCCAAATTACTACAGAAAATATACAGCTACAGAGAGACATCGAACTCCTTAGAAAGGATTCCGACAGTGCACGACGACTGGTGGAGCAGAAAGAAGAGGAACTCACTATGGCTCAGAGGAAACTGGCTGATACAGAAGACCTTATGGAGCAGGAGACTTTCAAAATCGAGGCAATTTCATTGTTAATAACTGAAGCTGGAAGCTCAGAAGCGAGCTGGGTTGCTGCGAGAGAGATCCTGACTTCAATGATTTCAGGGTTGCAATCATATGTGGGATACTCCTCTGGTGAAGCTGAGCTTGAACTTGCGAGAACACAAATTCTCCTGGCGGGGTCCGAAGGCAAGGTTAGGCTACTCTCTGAAATGGTCGTTAGAATGCAGAGTTCCCGAAGTGAAACATTTGAAACTGAACTGGAGTTTGATTTGGTCAAGAGTGCGGATCGTCCTCTGCGAAGGCTTTCCGAGAATCGAAGTCGGATCTCGTCGAGTGATAGCAAAATCAACAACACTAAACTTGTAGAAAAGTTGCGGCAGGGCCTTGCGAAGACCAAGGCTGAAAATGCGAAGCTGATCTCCGAGGTCCGCGAGAAGGAGAACGCAACCCTCAGTTTCTGGATGCAGCTGTCATCTGCGGAAGCGAAGTGCACGGAAATGGAAGTCATTGCCGCAAGCAAGGAAAAGAAACTATGTCATCAGCTGAATTCATTAACAGAAAAACTCCAAAATGTCGAAAATGAAGCTAAGAATTACAAATCACTTGCGCAAAAATCTGAAGCCGAGTTGGAGAGATTGACCATGTTACTGCTGGATACCGAAGAGCGGCAGAGGCAAGCCGAGCAAGCTTGGGTGAAGGAGAAGACCGAGCTCCAAAGTCAGAGACATGAGGCACAGCTGGAGGCTGCCACAAAAAAACTCAAACTTCCCGCGAGGTTCGCTAAGCTTGATAAATGGCAGCAGCGGCTGAGCGAAGCGGACCAGCTCATAAACATGCTGGTGGAAGCCAACGAGAAATTGAGGCAGGAATGTAGTCAGAGATCGATGGAAGCCGAGATGACGAACAACCTAATTCTGGAACTGCTGGAGACCGTGGCGCTGTCGAGGGAGCAGCTTCATGCCACCATGAGCCACACAGAGAGAGAGTTCCGTGCATTGATCGAGGAATCCCATCTGCTCAAAGCTCATTTCAAGAGCGACATTATGAGATTAAGGGAAACGCAGCTGATTGTAGTGGACGACATGATGAGGTCTATAGAAACACTGCCCTCAGTGAAGTGTCTAGAAAGCGAACGGCGGTCTTGGGAGCTGCAATGCAAGGCAGCTAATGCAGTGCTGGCTGAGAAAGAGTTGACAATCCGGAACCTCCAAACTGAAGTAGCCAAAGCTGTCAAGCAGATGTGGTGTGTGCAAACCGAGAAAGTGTCGGCGGTGGAGGCTTCTCAAGAGAAAGAAGAGACGATCGTAAAACATCTGAACGAAGTGAACCATCTTAAGGAAAGCGCAGACCGAGACATGTCTCTTCTGCAGAGCATCACAGAATTCGGAGGATATCATACACCTCTTAAACAGCCAATGGAACTTGGACTTGGCACGCCTCTCAATCAAAATGCGTTGCGGCAGAGTGTGACGAAGGAGGCTGAGCTCGGACATACTCCTCTGAGGAGATCCTTTTCTTGTAAGTTGATTGAGGAGAAGGAGATGACGTTGAACGTACTCAAAGAAGAGCAAGAGTATCTGAAGACGATGGTGTTCAGTCTCGACACGGAGAAATCCGAGTTGCAACAACAGTTGCTGGACTTGGAAGCTGATGCTACTGCTTTGAGGTCCACCATAGCCAACTTGGAGAGGGAGCTACATGATAGTAACCGCCGGCGGTGCGAGGATGTGGACGCGCTTGTTGAGCAGCTCCAGGAAAGCACTCGCCATATCTGTGACTTGGAGGTTCAGAGGACGGACCTTCGAGAGGAAATGCAACGTCAAGCGGTGTTATTTGCCGAGCTCTATGAGCAGCTCCAGAAGCAGGAGAGTTTGGCGGAAGCAGAGAGAGCCAATGAAGGCAGAGCCGATGAGAACAAGTATGTCTTGCAAATGCTAGAGCAGGAGAAGGCTGAGCTCAAAACTATGGTTGAGCGGCTAGACACGGAGATAATGGCTCATCAAGTGGAATCGAAGCAATTGAAAACACAAGTGGAAGCTCTGAAGTCAGATCTGGCATTGAAGACAGTCGAAACTGTTCGGATCAATGAGGAACTTGATCAACTGAGAGGTGTAGTAGAATTTTCTGAAAGAGAGACGAAAATCCTAAGAGACCTAGTGGAGGATTTTAAAAGCAGTAGATCTCGGTTAGAAGAGCAACTTCAATACTCAACAGATGCCAGCATCTTGAAAGTAGAACAGCTCGAAGCAGAGCGGGACAAGTTCCAAGATGATCTTCATCTCTTCATGGGGCAGTTGGAGGAGATCCAAAAGTTGGCTGATCAACGAGACATTGCTGCATCCGAAGCTCGCCAGGTATGCTTCTGAGTCTCTCTGCTTCGTTGGTTTGTTTGCAATTAGCTCTCTTTCATATACTCGTGTTCTTACCGTGAATGATTAAATGAGCAGGTGGCGGAGCTAAACAAGATACGAGCAGAAGAGAAACAGGTTGAGGTGGACATCCTTGGGAAGTCTGTAGAGGAGCTGGAAAATACAGTTTATGCTCTAGAGTCTCAGGTCGGGCTTTTGAAGAGGGAGTGCGAGAGGCAACGCTTAATGCGGGAAGAAATGGAAAGTGAGATTCAAGGTCTCAAAAACCAGATCTCTATAATGCATGCTGCACTACACGAAGCAAGTACTCGGAGCAGTGATGAGCGCCTTGAAACAAAGATACGGAGAGAAAATGCGGAAAGGTAATTTTTCTTCTGCATGCTTTTCAGCTTTTTTACCCTTTTTCCTTAATTGGGCCTTTCTCGAAATGCCGTTGCGAACCAGGAGGTGTAATATTAACAATGCTGAACAATGGTGTTTCACAGTATGCTGGAGGAACGCGAGGCTGAACTGCAACTGCTGCGGAAAAAGCTGGAGAAACTCGAAATGCAGTTAGAAGAAAGCAAACCAGTGGAATGGGTACAAGCGCTGCCTCCAGCGCAGATTCCAATCCAAAAGGGGCAAAAACTTCCCAAGGGAGCGGCTTCAGCCTTCGCATGCATCAAATTAAACCACCAGGTTCACTTGGAGCTTGACGAGGAGAGGAAGGCCTATGAGCGTCGCATCCAGGAGTTGGAAGATGTTCTTGGCAGTCACCAAAATGAGGTCACGACGTTGCATGGAAAGCTGGCCGATGCCGAGAGAATGACACGCGATGTCCTCCATGTTCTGCGTTGCATCAAACTGGACATGTCCAACGTTGCTGTAAGGCAACCAAGTCCCTTCTCTAACTGATCTATTGATTTTTGGCAATATGTATTCTACAACGATTTTGACATTGCTATATCTTTGCTGCAGACTCTCTTAGACGAACAACAGGTGGAAGAAGGCGTGAAGAGTGATAGACAGACGCTCCAAAAGGTCGCTTATAGTTTATTTTCTTCTTCTTCATTTTCTTATTGTTGTCTTTCACTCGTTCCTTCTTCTCTCCCTTCTTTGAATTCTTTCATTTTGTCTCTAACAGGTTTTCGTTGCATCAGCCGTTTTGTGTGTTACTGATGCATACGATCGGGTTCTTGCAGGACGAGGAAATTGAGCAAATCCTCACCCAACTGAACGATTTCATCGAAGAGCGGGAAAGGTATGGTCTAGTGCCTGAGCATGATAAGTCGTTTGCAATGTCGGATTTTTACTGTCTTGATCTGCTTCTGATTGCTCATCTGTGAGACATTTGCTTCAGTTGGTTGGAGATGATCAGTCGAAAGCAGCTTGAGTTACTTGCTGCCCAAGAATCTGTGGAAAACCTTAGAGAACGAGAAAAAGCTCTCGTTGCCGAAAATAAAAAGCTGGTCACTGACAATCGAAACCAGCTGAAGAAGATTGGGCACCTGGAGCAGGAGGTGAAGTCTCTCTCTGGACAACAGAACCTTCAGCAGCGGATCAAACACCACGCCAGAATCAAGGTAAATTGTTCTTCTCACACAAAACCTGAGCCACATTAGCCGCGTCCTTTCATTTTACTGGCGCCTCAGTGCATTCTCGTTGACTGGTTTCTCTCATTTTCCGAGCAGGAAGAAAACAACTCCCTGCGGATCCAAAACAACGAACTGAATGCCAGGCTCAGACGTGTCGAGCTCCTCAACACGCGTATCAGCGAGGAGTTGGCCAAGTACCGCGCTGCGCATGGCAAGCCATCTGCATTGAATATCGAAGAGGAGCAGCGTCTTCGCACCATGCTGCAGGAAACTGAGCAGCAGCGGGACCAAGAGGCTCAAAAGCTCGCCACCCTAAGTTCCAGAGTCATGAATGCTGCTGGAATGACAGACCGCGGCACTGAGACCGATCCAGCCACGGCTTTGGAAGCTATTGAGAAAATGAAGCATCACTTAAAATCCACACTTCAGGAGCTGGAGGACGTCAAGCTGAAGGTATACCGCCAACTCTATGAGCCTCACTACTTGATAACCTTACCCACCCAATTCAGGAACAGTGTCCTTGTTGACAGTGACCGAATCTTCCTTCCTTCTAATGGACAACTGTTAACCACTGTGTGTCTGGATTGGCAGACTAGAATCTCGGAAGAAAGGCAGAGGTTGAACGAATTACGGACTGCACACTCACCCTTGCGAGGCATGGATGCGCAAAGTGTGACACCCAGATGACCCTCAATGCCACTACCTCGTTGCGTTGGTGTTCGTAGGTTTGTGCAGATTCTTGTGTACAGTCACCGCACTAGGGAGCTTAGCATAATTGCCGATGTTATAGAATGTACATCAGTCTCGTATTTTTTTGCTGGATCATCGATATGACCCTTATTTTTTAACCAGCCTCGATGCGATGGTTTGCCCGGCGTCGGAGCCCTCTCGTCCCCCATTTGTGAGGGACTTTCCGCTTCTAGAGCTCGCACTTTTTCCTAAACCCTAAAAGCTTAAAGCTAGTGGAGTATCTTACATTATTTTTGCAGTCAAGTTATATTTCCTGATTTTGTTTGGATCGACGCTGATTGCGTGATCCCAAGTGAGAAAGATGATCTTGTGCTGCACCTGTTGAATTTGTTTAATTCATTTTATACTTGGACAATTTTTTCCAAGATTTATTGGCAATGTTGAGTATTCAACAACCTTCGTGATTGGAGGTCTTAAATGTGAGCTTTCATTTAAGCATTATTTCAAAAATTTACATGTTATGAAATATTTGTTGCAATGAGTAGGCATGTTATATTCAATTTTTATTATGTACTTTGATAATTCAACATGTTTAAAACAATGCTTATCCTCTGGGGTTTGTACACTAGTTTATGTCTATACATGCTAGTATATCATGTTTTTTTAATGATTTTTTATTAATGTAATTAAAATTATTTCAAAAAAGCGTTCTTGGAACAAAGATTCCTATTATATGTGAGTGAATGAAAATGATGTGTTTTGAAAATACTGCACCGAAAATAATTAGGTATACTAGATATAAGTTAAATAAAGTTAAAAATTGTTAAGAGTTTAAGAATTTATTAATAGCAATTGATTTCGTAATCTGCATAAAATTTCTTTTACATAAACATGTTTACTTTTGTGTGCACTCAATCTAACATGTTTTCAATTTTGGTTTAAATAGCAACTTGTTTGTAAAGTTAACAAATGCTTAAGAAACCAATTTATTCCAATGTTACTAAGTTTTGTTTTATAAATTTATTAAACAATTGTTTGACAATTATTTATAATTTTGTCAATAATTATTAAAATATAAAGCTGTATTTCTACAAAAATAAAAATAAAATTTAACTTAAATATACAAAAAAAATAAAAAATAAAAAAATCCAAGTCAATTTTAATTTAGTACTTTAATTATTTTTTTCAAAACTTGTAGTATTGCAACTGGCTATTTTAATAAATTATATAATAATAATAATAATAATAATAATAAATACGATGAGTATCAAATATACAAGAAGTTGAATTTAAGATACAACACTTAACATTAATTACTACTAAAAATAAGCGCTTCAATTATTTACTAAACCTAATTTTAGTCAGAACTATAGTTTTTATCACATAAACAATAATAAAAATATTTTATATTAAACAAACATGTTCTATTGATGAATATAGAGTGGCTACTAGTTAGAGCCATCTGTTGGCATGAATGTAAGCTGTATTATATCTATGGATTCTTATACATAATATAACATAATTATAACTATCTACAACTAAGTAGATCTAAAATATATTTTTTTTTATATTCCTTTTAACATATATTTTTAAATAGATTTTTTTAATAGATACCCTTATATTTTGCAATGTTTTGATGAATATCCTTGATTTTTAAAAATTGCACAAATATCCTTGAAAGTGTAGGCAAGGATTTTAGAGAGCTTAGACATATACACCTTCTCTTTTGCTGCCTTCTTCTTAATATCACTCTTTTTTTTCCTCATCCTTTCTTAGTTGCCCTCATCTCTCCTTCCTTTCACATTGCTACATGGAACACTGTGTTGCACTTTTCATAAATATCAAATTTGGTTTATTGTAAGATTTTTGCAACCATGTGCTAAGTGTAGAAATTTCTTGCAACTATGAAATATATGCTACTGCAATAGATTCAACATAATTTTTTATTGCTTGTTTTTATAAAAAAATGTTTGTAATACTTGCATGCATCTTTGAAAAATAGTAATGTAGAGCCATGTTGTGCATGTATGTATATTCAAAATCATATGAGCACATCATACTAGTACAAGCATTGAGCATCTTCACAACAAATATGTATTTGTATTATTTGTTACAAAGGTAACTAATCACATCAAAGCTTTGGTGTAATACTCCTAGGTATTTATCAAAAGAGATTGTAAACAACATTTGGTGTGAGTATGGCATTACAATGGTAAACAACTATGCTTAGTAAGTTCAAGAGGATGCTATGTCAAAGCTTCTACTTTACAAGAAGCTATATATTAAAAGCTTAAATGCTGTTGTAAAGCATTAGAAATTACAATGGTTAGAGTGTAGACTAGAAAAATATGGTGATTTTTTTTTAAAAAAAAAAATTATAGTTTATAGACTATTTATCCACATCTTTAATTTTTGCCATAAAGACATAAGTTTATTTTTTATGCTTTTTCTACCTACAAATTAATATTTATACCTTTTGAATGAATAATATATGTAAATAGTTGGCCATAATAGATATTAATTTTAGTAACTAAATAATTATTCTCACTATTAAGAAAATATACTAGATTAACTAGATAATTGCCTCCAAGTCTTAATAAAATTATTTTTTTATAATAAGATTCTTGTAACTCATATATTCTTTTAAAGTCTAATAAATACTCAAGAAATAAAAAAGATTTTTTTGTTTTAATATTTTTGTATCTAAATAATTTAAATTCCTACTTTTAATAATTCTACGAATTAAAATGTATTGGTGGGATTTACATCTAATATGTGGAAAACAAAGAAAATCTTTGATAATAATAAACAAAATTTATATATATATATATATATATATATATATATATTGTTACTTCAAAGATGTGGGTGATAGTCCAAGATGCTAGAAAACTAAAATTTCTAGCCAAATTTGATGTTCTTTAGACATAACCATATATTATCAAATTAAATCTTTAATAATAATTTAATCCAATTCAAAATATTATATGGAAAAAGCTTTCCTACACAAACTAATGTTAGTTTTTGTGATGAATATAAAGTATAAATATTGGTTATAATACCAATGTACTTGATTATTTTGATAGGAGTTCTAAGCAACTATAAAAATGTAAGTCCACCAATATATCTTAATTAATAGAATTTTTAAAAATAAGATTTTAAGTCATTTAGATAAAAAGATATTAGTACTAGATACTCTGTTTTATTTTTAGAATATTTATTAGAATTTAGAAGGATTTATGAGTTACAAGAGTCTTATTAGAGATCTTAATCTAAAGTTAATATGTAAATTTAAACTTAGGCATAGTGAAGATACTTTAGAAGCAGATTTTGGTATTTTTTTGTTGTTTGCTTTATTTTGCTTAGCCTTTGCAGATTGAGGGATTTGCCCTTGAAAGGTTACTACAACCATATAGGCCTGATTAAATTGAAAGCCTAGCTAAGTAGGAGCTTGCCTACATTATAGTACATCCAAAAGCACCTCCACTTTGTCTTAAGGGAGAAATTATGACTCCAATTTGATCCCAACATTACTAATTACTAAAAAAGAAAAGATAAGTTGAGAGGGTAGTCCCAAAGAAGCCACTTCCTGAATCATAGCTTTCAAAGGTTGTACCTTTGAACTTAGTATGTTTTGACAATTAGAGCTATTTTGCAAATAAATCCACATTTTCAAGCATAATTTGACTATTGTTCATCCTTGGGACAAATCTTTTGTATCACATTGGCAAGACTATTGTATAATTTATAAGTACCACTCTACAATGAGTGTCCTTGATTTTTTTGACCTTCTTATTTTTGGATTTCAACTTAATTTATCTCCCTATTTTTGTTGTCTATAATTTGAATTATCTAAATAACTTGCTCTAGGAGTTATTAATTTATAAGGTATAGTAATTTTATCTTGGTTTTTAGGATTTTGACTTTAATAATAGAATTTTTTTTTAGAAGTTTGAAAATATTAATAGATACATTTGTAAATTTTTAATTCTAAATATATCATTTAATTTTTCTAAAAATGCATAGATTTATAGATATCGAAGGTTTGATTATTTTAAAATTTTAATTAATTTTTCAAATAGGTAGACTTTGGTAACTTTTAATTTGATCTATTCTTCTATTTTAGAGGTCCTCAAGCTAATCGTAGGCTTAGAATGCTCTACAAGTTTTTTAAGTTTCAGATATAGAACCTTTGATTTGATTTCTTTTGTTGACTTTTAATTTACTTTGTCTTTTTAAAAAAATTACTAGATCTACCTCCTATTTGTGATGTTGTTGATTCTAATGGTATATTTAAAATCTTTAATAATTCTATATTTTAAAAAATATAAGATTTTAAAAATTTCTAAATACCATTTTATAAAATATGTATAAAAAAATTAAAATAAAAACACAACAATAACAACAACTATAGACTTTTATATACTATGACAATGAAATTGGTGGCTTATATAATTATATTTATATTTTGTGGTTCAAATATATCATATTTAGACTACTTTTTAAATATACTATATACACAAATGACTTTAAAACAGATTAATTATATTTAAAATATATGCAATCTCAACAAGTCTTAGTTACCAAATCTACCAATTTGATTTTAACACATCTAAGATTGTGTCCCACATAGCAACTATGTTTTTAAGATTTTTAAACATATGTGCACATGCTATAGTTGGCAACAAAGTATAATAAAACATTTTAAAAGCATTTTAATTTTTTATGGAGATTAAACATAAATAATAAAATATACAATAAATTTGACATCATAATTTTAAAAATAATAAATTAAAACTTTTCCATACTATTTTTAGTATTATTTTTTAATGAATATTTATTTATCTATATTATGAATTAAATATTTTAATTTTGGTAGTATTTAATGTAATTCAAGATTAAAATATTACTAATAAATAAATTTTATTTTAATTCAATTATTTGATTATATTCTTTTTTCATTTTTTTTTTTTTTTTGATAATAAACCACTTCAAATATAAGTTTGTATATATAAAAATATATATACATATTTTCTATAAAGAAACATAAATAAAATTTATTATTTTTCTTTGAAATAATCATTTATAAATCTATCTATAATGATTCTATTAGTTTTAGAATATATTTATAATATATAATTTGTAATAGTATATTATCTTAATAGTATAATAATACAATATTAATTATGAAATTTTTAATCTTATAAGGCATCTCTATTTTAAAATATTATATTCAAAATAATATTTTTTCTAATTATTTGGTCTAATTGTACAATAATATTTATACATGAAGCAAAGAATATTTCTTAAAATATAGTTAATTATATGGCTCATTATTTAATTTATTATTTATAAAATTTATTAATATTAAAACACTTAATTTGATAAATTAAAAATTTTATTATTTTTAATTTTAATAAATAATAGTATTGATAATAATATTCACAAATTTTGTAAAAGCAATAAAATATTTATACTATTGATGAATTTAGTTGTAAAATATTTTTAATTAAATTTTCCTTGACAATAACTTCAATTATATTTGAAATATGAGATCCATCTTTCATCACTAATACTAATCATCAATAATTTTATTCTCTAAAATATAAAATATTATAATTACTATAGTAGACGATGAAATAATTATTTTACATCATTTGAATAGTATAAATTAACTCATTGTAATTAATAGGACTAAAATAAAGGTTTTTTAACATAAAATAGTCTTATCTTTGATTTTCTCCAAAATATTATGACTTCCAATCAATACAATATATATATATATATATATATATATATTAAAATTTATGGATTCATTGACTCAATAACAAAAATTCAAACATTTCAAAAAAAAAGGTAGTGCAATTTTATTTTAAGACATGTATAAAAACATTAAGCATTGTATCCATAAAAATTTAATAAATATTATATCAAGAATATAATAAAATTTTAAATAACAAAAATATATAAGATCTTCAAAAAATATTTAATTTTGAGTTATAAATAAAGATATTATTAAATTAATTACAAAAGAATTTTATATATTATGATTTATAGTATAATTGTATTTAATAAAATAATAATTAATTTTAATAATAATCATTAATATAGAAATAATAATTAAAAAAATACTACATATACAAGTTTAATAAGTTGTTTACAAATTGTATATTAAAATGTTCAAATTATTAAACATACATTATGTGTAGATTTCATGTATTAAACTATGAAATTTCAAATATTTATAATTCTAAAATAAGTAAATTTACAATATGCACCAATTTTTTATTTTCTTTTATATTCAATAAAATATTCAATAATATGGCATATTATTTAGTATACAATTCCTATAAAAGAAGTACAAATCTATATTTATGTATTTTTTTCATTAATTTGATATTATTTGACATACATTTTAAATTCATTAAAAAAAGATTAAGATATATTATATTCTTTGACATAAATATAGTTGTGCATTTAAAAAAGTAAAATAACTTCTTACATCATTACCTGATATTCTGTTAAACAATAGTTTCTTAACAAACTATAATTTTTTATTGTATAAATATATATTTTATTTGTTATTCTCCTATAAATAAATTCATATTTTGCTAGTTTGGCTAGTTTTATTATATAATTTGGTAATATTTTTTTGTTATTGGTCAAGTTGTTATTTGAAAAAAGTTAATATATACATATATATATATATATATATATATATATCTTCTTTAAAATTTATTATTTTATTCTGAAATTATGATATAAAAATTTCTCGTCAAGTATAGTGCTTGTTATCTCTGTAGCACAAGCTTTGTAAAATACATAAGAGAACATGCTTGAGGTGGTTTGGAGAGCTCATCCTAATCCTTCTATCACTTGGGACAACTGCAAGCCAGACACACCCAATTGGTTGTCTTAAATCCGTGGACAACGTGGTTTCACAGCACCACTTCGATGTAATTAAGCCCTAAATTTCAAATCTGGATTCTCAATGTCAATTCCATTTGTTTTCGAGAGGGGTGTGTATTGATGAATAGCTTGGCCTCGAAGATGGCATCGGCAAGAACACCACACTCGTCGCCCTGAAGTGAAAAACGAAAGAAAATAACAAAATAAATACGAGATCCTTAAAAAGTCTTGTGTTTAATCCTTCGGTGTTGAATCCAAAGACAAAACTTGTTGTTCTCATCCATTCCACCGCATTCAAACGCGGGCAAGTAAGAATTGAGAGGCAACAAGTACAAATGCTAGCTAACACACACCGCCTCATGTTGTAGAGCGAATTTTGCCTGATTTTCGCAGTCCTACATGTCTCATGCAGCTGTAAACAAATTGTTTGACAATTTGCTGTCAGACTGATTCTCACAAGGGGGTTTCATGCCGTCTCTTGTAACCTAGTTGCAATTTGATGCAAAGAGTTTGCATGATCCCATGAAGAATTCTTCTTCACGCCGCCCGCTGAAGAGACAGAAATTCTTTTGGTCTTGTTGGGTTTGTCAGTTTTTGATAATACATTATTAACGCCAGATTAGTGATAGTTAGCACTAGTGGATGCTTATTTTAAGTATGTGTTTGGAATACTAAAGGTGCCCAGAGTGTGCTGTTGATTTTGTTGTTTGATGCTATGTCCTGCTGTGACTATGGCGGCCATGGCTGGTTCCGGCTCCGCTATACCCATGGCGTTTCTGCCGCGCCAGCTGATCCCTTTCCCTGTCACTCCTTCCTCGAGGATCAATTTGCACAATTCGCATCAACTTAGGTGTTTAAAATCTCATGGCGAGATTTACTTCAATGGGTGTTGCGTCCGAGGCGATGCTTCTCAGCGTGTTTTGCGAGCGGGAGCTTCAGTTGAAGAGGCCGAAGCCTCAGTTGCTCCTGGAGGAGATGAGGCTGCGAGCGGCGAATTGAGATTTGAGCGGGCGCTCGAGGTGCTTGGCAATAGCCGCACGCTCAACCGCCTTGATGCACGTGACGATGAGGCTGATGAAAATTTGGGTCCCTCTACTGCAGCTGGTGAGCTTTGTCTTCCTCCGTCCTCGGAATTCTACGTTTCGGTTACTGCCCACATTGTTTCGAATATGGAATTGGTAATTGTGAACTGGTTTTGCATTTCTAGCAAAAACCTCATCACTAGCATATCGTCGTAGGACACCAGAAAGATAATTGTTTATCGCGAGTTGTGTGGGTAAAGATTGCTTTGGCCAATTGAGCTATCAATTTCAAATCAATGATTCAGGGTTCAGGGTTTAAGTGGGTTTCTCACGCGTAATCCATAACGATTCAAACTCTTGCATGGTTATGGCTTTGATTACGGATTTGATGAGAGTTAGTGGTTGCCATTCAGTAACTAAGTCTTATGTGACTATTCTGATGCAGCATCCTGAAATATTGTTTGTGCAGATTGGCAGAGTAATGAAAGGGTTCTAGAGTGCTGCGAAGCTGGCAATAAGTTGAACATAGCAGTGCTGCTGAGCGGAGGTGTGGACAGCAGCGTAGCATTGCGGTTGTTATGTGCAGCTGGCCATTCTTGTACTGCATATTACCTTAAAATCTGGTTCCAGGTCTGATATCGCACTGCCTGATGTTCTCAAGGATGTGCTGATTAGGTTGAAAGTACTCTAGGATGTTTCAAAGGATTGTAACCTATTATAAAACAGGTAATTAGTATCATGGTTTAAGCTGGAATGATTTTAGAATGTTCTGGAATTTATTGGCGCTGTCTCGGGTACAGGATTAATCAGTTCCTGAGAAACTCGTAACATATTTATCTAATTTTACTGCAGGAGGATTTTGAGAATTTCTGGTCAGAGTGTCCTTGGGAAGATGATTTGAAGAACGCCCAAGCAGTGTGTGATGAGGTGAATGTTTCTTTTCTTTCTTGTGTCCCTTCTTAGCGTGGATGTATCGTTGTTTTGATGTCAATAGTACCTCCCCACTAGTCCTGCCCCTGACTCTTTTGTTTAATCGGCGGTAAGCACAGGATTACATCGCATTGTCAGGCATTGTTGCTGAAGTTTTTTTCTCGTGAATACAATGGAGTGAGAATATGTCTGATCCCATGGACCTTGTGATGTTGTTAGGTCAGGTCGGAGTGGAGCTCCGGGTGGTGCATTTCACAGATGAGTACTGGAATCTTGTGGTGAGTTTCCAACGAGGTCCTTGTAGGTAACAATATTTTGTTCAATGTTACAGGGCAAATTCACCATTGTTTTGATCATACAATTGAGAATTTCGTAAAAAAGCAGCGGATCTATTTTGTTATTCAGATGTGCAATTGCTTTGGTTTTAGTTGTTCTGGACATTAACTTGCAGGGTAAGTTCGTTGCATGTTGCAGGTGTCTCATAGTATTTCTGAGATCCAGGCAGGTCGCACACCAAACCCGGATATTCTGTGCAACACGTGTGTAAAATTTGGTGAGTCGCCTGGTAAATGACACCAGGTTGATAATTTTTAGGGTAGGAATATACTACCGGTAGCTAGGATTAAGAAATGCATCTTTCTACTTGGTTGAGAAAGTCTTCTAGCAAGTACTCTCGACTAGGAGTGTCGTATACTGTTCTTTGCTGCCTCTATGTCAGAGTGTTCTCACAATGGTTTACAAGTGGAATGTTGCAGGAGCTTTTCTAGACCACATTAAGGATGAACAATTTGATAGGGTGGCTTCTGGACATTATGCAAGGATCAGGAAAATTTACAACTGTGATACTGGAGCAGAAGAGAGGACTGAATTGTTATTGTGCCCAGATGAGGTATTTCTGTCTTATTCTGTCCCCTCTGCAAGAGCACTTGAGTCTTTGAATACTTGTAATACCAGATGTGAAAATCTGTATACTTTCTCTTCTTTTTTGGGTGGAATTGCTTTGATTGTATTGCTTCTTGTAAGGCTCATGTCATACATCTGTGATGTGCGAACAGGTGAAAGACCAGACCTATTTTCTATCACATTTGACGCAGGAACAGCTGTCACGTCTGATCTTTCCTCTTGGTGGCTTTACCAAGGTTAGTGTTTCAGTTGAATCCTTATGCACAGTACACAAAGGAATTATATGTTTACACAGACGAAGTAGAAATTTGACGTAGCTGTTCTGTTGATTTTATATGTAACGCTTGTTAGAAGTGATGTTTGATGTCCTTAACCTTTTACAATCTCCTGTCCAACTGTGGAAGTTTCTAGTAGATTACAATTGAACCACTAATGCTTTGTTACGTGTAGTACTCTTGACTATTAATTTCTAGAAGTAATTTGTGGTTGAGCAGGCAGAGGTGCGACAGCTGGCAGAGGTTATGGGGCTGTACAACAAAAATCGAAAAGACTCTCAAGGCATTTGCTTTCTTGGCAAGGTGCTCCAATTCGTATGCACGTAAAGTATTTTTCAGTAAATTATTGTGTTAGTAAATTATTGTGCTAGGACAACAGTGAGCGTATTCCTGACTTATCAATATTACAACTTGTAAAATGTGGAAAACTTGGGAACCTAGTACTCAGAAGGTATTCTGCAACAGGTCAAGTTCAGTGATTTTATTGCGAAACACCTTGGCGAGAGTGAAGGTCGTATGTTGGAGGCTGAGACAGGGGAACTTCTTGGCCTCCACAAAGGATTCTGGTTTTACACAATGGGGCAGCGTAAAGGCCTTCGCTTCTCTAACGGACCCTGGTATGTATACTTTTGATGTTTTCTGTTGCTTGCAAACATTACTGTATTCCGCTGGGAAGCCCTGTAAATCTACCTCTTATATTTCTTTGTTTTTGGAAGCTTCAGCACATTCTAGTTTTGGTGTCTGACATGTTAATCGTTGATGAATACCAGGTTTGTTGTTGCAAAAGACATCGTGAACAATGTAGTTTTCGTATCACGGCATTACTTTTCAGAGGATAAACGCAGGCGATCGTTCCGTGTGGACTCGTTCAACTGGTTTTCAGGATTTCCCCCTGCAGACAATTCTGGTCTACAATGCAAGGTCTGGTTCTCCTGTCCATGTATGTTCGTAGGATTTTAGCTTGCATAAGCTTAATCCTTGATCAGTACTGTTTTAGCTCTAACTCTTTCAAAATGCTCTCATGGTCTTGCGTGTAACTTGTGGGATCATGATCATCACTTACCTCGTTCGAAGGAGCGTTGATGCAGGTGCGACATGGTCCGAGATTTTATACTTGTAGTCTGGACATACAGACAGATTCGACAGATTCTGAAGCAGTAACCAAGGAGAGTAAATCTCTCACTTCAGCGGTAGTGAATCTAAATGAAGATGATCAAGGATTGGCACCTGGACAGTATGCCGCGTTTTATCAAAATGGTGTTTGTTTAGGATCTGCTGTCATAACTGAGACGTTAGGGGGTGCTGTCAACTCGAACGTTTCTGCAAAAGCCTTGGGAATTGCCCAACAACCTTTTGATGTTGAGGCGTACAAAAAGTCCAGACCAAAAATAAGTAACTCTCTTAGGGTAAGCAGCTCAAGCAAACCAAACATCCGTACTGGTGAATCGAACACTGAATCGAAAAGTAGTGGTCCATTGATTGAATCACACAACCAGACTTCAAAGACGCAAGTAACTACAGCAGTGGAGAACCATGATAACGCTCCTGCAAGTCCAGGAGTGGATCGTAGAAATCCAGCTGAGCCAAATAGCCACGGTTTTCTAGATTTTAGACGATTTTTTGCAGACCTGTTGAAGAGGATTCCATAACTACAGTTCTTTTTTTTGCAAACAGCGAAAAAAAAATCAGTAATGATATCGATTTGCTCTTATTCTTTCATTTGCCAAATTTTGAATTGTTCTTTGTTGTGCTATCTCCACCTCACAACTTATCATGAACTCCTGTGTCTGGATCAATCTCCACCTATCTGGATAAACACATCAAGTTCAAGATATCTGAATAAGTTGGCCTTCTGAATTGTTATCAATTGGACCCACTTGGGTGGACTGCCGACTTGGGCAATGGAGGGTGATTCGGGATTCTCGGATCTGGAGGGTTGAGATAAAGGGAGTTATTAGGTGCAGCCTTGGCTGCACTCACACAAATTGACACGATAGTTTGGTGTTAAGCAATAGTAGTGGCTAATAATTTATTTATTTACTTCTGTTGAGATCATTAAATGTAGCCGACGCTCTCCATAATATTTACTGTAGACTATAGTAATTATTGTAGCTACAGTATTTAGAGTCTAGTGGAGAAGTACTGTTCATCCTCTTATCTTCTCTCTTCTTGTATACGAGACACAACCAGATCAACAAATTTTGTGTGTGTGAAGGTCTCTCTCCTTAGAAACCCTCTTGTGTGTATGACTTACTACTACTCTTGTGTGTGTATGACTTACTACTACTCTTGTGTGTGTGTATGACTTACTATTACTCTTATGTCTTTCTAAACATTCTCAACACGTTATCAGCACGATTCTCTTCTACACGCTATCACAATTTTTTTTTTTTTTTTTTTTTTTTTTTGCTCTAGTCTTTGACTCTTCAAACCTGTTGCTACCCTTGTTTAGTGTCTGGGTCATGATCTTGTTCTTCTTGCTGGCCCCTCACACATTAGTTGCTTGTTTAGAGCACTTGTTCCACTCTCTGCCTTGCTTGCTCTGAATACTTGATCCAACCCAACTCCACCCTCTACTCGCTCCCTGCTCCCTGCTACGCCCCAAACTACCGCCGAACACATGCCGAACTGCCGCCAAATCCGCCGTTGCCACCATGTCGCTGCTGTCCGCTGCTGCCCGCCGCTGCTACCCTACTGTCCTACTGCTGCCTGCTACTGCCATCTTATTGCTGTTTTGCTGCCTTAATCAACAACTCTTTCTCCTTAAAAAAAATAAAATAAAAAAAAATAAAAAATTATATATTTTAGTTTTTTCAAGTTCAAGTTTATCATTTTATTTGACTTTATATTTTAAGGTACGTTTTACTCAACTTTTCTACTTGATCTTGTATTTTCTTTACAAATTTATTTATAATGAGTGCTTCAACATCTTCAATTGCTTCTACTATGGTTCCAACTATTACCAATGCATCCCAACATTTTCAAGTTCTTTTATTTCCACCATTGACTGTGGATGGAAACAATTATCTATTATGGGCAAAAATGGCAAAAGCAAATTTATTTGCAAAATAACTCTCGGATGCCATTATGTTTGAAGAATCTCTTACAATAAGTATTTCTATATTTCTTGCTATTCGTTGGAAAACACTTCTTCTTCTTTGTCGTCATCTTGTAGCCATATTACAACATCAATATTTGGAAATGGAAGACCCTGCAGAACTTTGGAAGAATCTTAAATCTAGGTTTGATCATCAAAAGACTATTTTTCTTCCACGTGCACGTCATAATTGGACACATTTACGTGTCTTGGATTTTCTAAATTTAAATGCTTTCAATAGTGAAATGTATAGTATTGTCTCACAATTACGATTATGTGGACAAAGTATTTCTGAAGAAGAAATGATTGAGAAAACTCTCTCTACATTTCCTCCTGCATCTAATGTGCTTGCACAACAATATAGGAACATGAAATTTCAGAGTCATTCTGATCTCATGTCCTATCTACTTCTTACGGAGAAGGAAAATGAGCTACTCTTGCACAATGCAGAAGCTCGTCTTATTGGAACTACAATTCCAGAATCTCATGCACTTAATATTTCAAAGTCTAAGCGGAAATTATATAAATATGAGAAACGTGCTCATAAGTATCAGGGTAGTCATAGTCAAGACCATTTCTACCTATATGGAAAGAATAAACGTTCTACTATTAATTATAGTAGAAAATAAAAATCAGAGATGCATTCTTGCCATAAGTGTGGAATGATTGGACATTTAGCACATGCATGCCGTACTTCAGAATATTTTATTAAAATATTCCAAGAATATAAGAAATTACGAACTGAGGCTCGTGAAGTTCATACCATGGATGCATCCATGGATTCAATTGGTGTTGATGACTTAGAGGCTTATATGAATGATAGAACCTCTAATGATGAATCAAATGATGCGCTCATTGATTCTGCAATAACACATATTATCTTGCGAGATAGATGATTTTTTATTGAAAAATCTTCAACTTGGCAAACTAAAAATATGATGACCATGGCTCGAGCAAATGCATTTTGTTTCTAAGAGGGCACAACGATGGTAAAATTACTTGCGAGTTCCATCATAAAATGTAAACATGCGATGTTTGCACCCTCAACACCTTGGAGTCTGATCAACTACCGAGATGTACATATTAATGGTTATCACCTCTCGACCGCTACTTTAAATAGAAAATAAGTTTTGGTTCTTACGAAGAACCATAAAGTTGTTGAAAAAGCTTTTGCTACAAAAAATGGTTTATACCAAATTGTGATTCGGCCTCCCATTATATTTAATTTTGCATCATCTATCTCAGAGAGTCGTGTTTCTCTCTGGCATGGACGATTGGGATATTTAGGATCCACATTATTTAAAAAAATCATTCCATATATAATTGGGCATAATTTAAAGCCTGCAGATGTAGATTCTATGGAATTATGTCGTGCATGCGTACAAGATAAAATGATTACTCGACCTTCAATTTGGAAACTTCCACAAGAATTACCACCAATGCTTGAAAGATTGCATGGTAATATTTGTGGTCCTATTAATCCAATATCAGGACCATTTCATTATTTTTTGGTCCTTGTTGATGCATCAGGTAAACAATCACATGTTTCATTATTATCAACTCGAAACATGGTGTTTGCCAATCTTATATTTATGCTTATTCGCTTTCGGGTACATTTTCCTGATTATCCTATAAAAACATTGCGTATGGATAATGCAAAATAATTTGCATCAAAGTCTTTTGAAGACTATTGTACTCCAACAAGAATCGAGTTGACATATTGTGTTCCATATGAACATACTCAAAATGGACTTGTAGAGTCATTTATAAAGCGTATACAATTCATTACACGGCCACTCCTCCTCCATGCAAATCTACCTGCATCTATGTGGGTTCATGTACTTTTACATGCTACAACATTAATATGCCTCCACCCTTCTTCTCTTGAAATTGTTTCACCACATGAGCTCATTTCGGGTCATGTTTCAAATGTATCTCACTTACGAATATTTGGTTGCCATACTTGGATTCCAGTACCAGAACCTCAACAGCGTACCATTGGAGCTCATCGACAAGAAGGCATATATGTTGGTTTTGATTTATCAAGCATTATTCGTATTGTTGATCCATCAACTTGCACATTATTATGTGCACGTTTGCAAAATTGCCGTTTTGAAGAAACTGTATTCCCATCTCTTCAAGGAAGAGTATCCAATCAACAAAGAAATAAAGTACTCATATTTGAAGCACAAGAAACGTTTACAATGAATCCCGATCCTAGGACATCTTTGGCAGAAACTGAAGTTGCTAAGATTTTGCATTTAAAATGGATCGCGGATGAAATACGTAATGGCTTCAATGATGCACCTAGAATTATAAGAGTTCCTATTAATGAGGCTCAGAATGCACCTGCTCAGATTGCAGTGCTATTGACTATAATACCTCAAGTTATAACAACAACAACTAAAAGAACTCGTGGACTAGGTAAGCAACTACGTAAGAAGAAAGCTATAAAATTAACTAATCCTGGTATTATTTCTCAAGAAATTGCCACTCATCTTGCAAGACTATCAATTCATGATGATATATCCATGCATAATGTACCTTCAATTCCTATGAAAAATAATCTTGGAATTGGAAGGAATAAGAACAAGTTGAGTAAAGAATTATCTATTCTATATTGTGCTACAGATGATATTTGGGATAGACCATCTATTACGGTAGATGAATCATTTGCATATATGATTATAGAAGCCCTTTTTTGCGACGAAGACGATCTTGAACCTCAAACCATCGAAGAGGCGATGCATCGCTTTGATTGGTCAAAATAGAAAATTGCTATTGAAGAGGAGTATGCCTCTTTGCATAAGAGGAAAGTCTTTGGTCCAATTATAGACACTCTTATATCTCGCCATGTGGGATATAAAATGATATTAATATGCAAGCGAGATGCTTAAGGCCAAAAAACCCACTATAAAGCTCATCTTATTGCTTAAGGATTTACTCAACGATTTGGCATTGATTATGAATCTACATATTCTCTAGTCATGGATTCAATTATATTTTGATATATTATTGGATTGATAGTTCATGCCACCCTTGAGATGCATCTGATGGATGTAGTTACTGCATATCTATATGGTTCTCTTGATGCACATATTTTTATGAAAGTTCCACCTGGCTTAGAAATAGGAACTCCAAATCAACCCGCTCCAAGAAAATATCATAATATTAAATTATGTAAGGCCTTATATGGTTTAAAATAATCCGAAAAAATGTGGTATCAATGTCTTCGAGATTATTTAATTACAAATAATTTTATAAGTGATCCACTAATCCCTTGTTTGTTTATCAAATGAGATAAAACTGGTTTTGTGATCATCGCTGTATATGTTGATGATCTTAACCTAGTGGGCACTACATCTGCATGTGTTACAGCTATAAACCTACTTATATATGAATTTGAGATGAAAATGCTAGGAAAAATAACTTTCTGCATTGGTTTTCAGATTATGCATCTTACAGATGGTAGCATTTTTCTCTACCAACTAACGTATATTAGACGAATTTTGCAAAGATTTAATATGAATGATGCTTATCCATTGTCCACTCCAATAGTTGGACGTGGTCGTGATGGTCATGATCCATACCGTCCATGCGAGGAGGAAGAGGAAATATTGGG